AACACTACCACTTCTACGTGCAATATAAAACAAGCCTCTTACCCCGTTTGACATAAAATTATAATAAAAGGGTTATTGTATAATGCATCTTAATTGAGATGTGAAACTTATAGTTCAGTGTGACGAATATCCTCTTCTGTAGTTGATTGTGCAAGTTGAGAGATTTTGTCGTTGGAATTAAGGCAATCAGCAGAAGGGTGCACCACCCCATAGGGGAAACCCTGAGCTGAGTGGCAGTATGTTTCAACTGTGCCATCTTGTTTCTCTAAGTCGACATTGCTAAGGACGAGGTTGTTGCATGGGACTGTGTCACTGCAATCGAATTTAATGGCCTTTGCACTCATTGTCGTGCCACTTATGTTCTGATACATCACCTCACTTATCTCCACAGCTGATGTCTATACAACAGTTCATAACATCATTGTTAGTGGTTGTTGTGTCACCCAACATACATTATAATGGTTTTCAAAATCAGAAAATTGATTATCCACTCAATTTTACACCCTTGTTCAATCACAAATTGTTGTATTCCTTTTATTCTTATTATAAAACACTTTTAGTTAAATCACATGAATCAATAAAAGTTAGTTGATTTTATTGTATATATAAATCAAAGTCATTATAGACCAATTTTATACTTTATACTTATGATTGAATTTTTATGAAAGAGGTGAAGATATTATTATATATCAAAGCTTATACACTAATATCAATAAAATTGACAAATGATAATTAGAGAGTTTAAGAAGTGAGAAAAAAATATTTATTTATCAAATATTTTTCTTTAATAGGAATAAATGATAAAGAATAAAATTAATGTTTCATAAAAATTGTCAAGTGTCTTATTAAAAAAGACAACCATTTTCTTTTAAAATTTCTCATAATAAAGATAGGAGAGCATATATAGAAACTTTTTTTACTTGTACAATAACTATTTGAAAGTCATATGATTAATAGGTGAGAATTGTATACATTAAATTTAGTATATTTAAAATAGATATAATAAACCATATCATTAATTAATTATCACCTTAATGATATAATTAGTATAATTTATGAAATTTAACTGTGTAATTTTATCACACTATAAAATAAATTGAAAAGAGAATCTGGGAAGAGGTAGAGTGTACCTGGTCTTGACAAGTGGATGGTGAATCACAGTAAAATTGGTCAATAATAATAGGGTTAGATACATTCTCCACCCTCACATTCTGAAAACGTACCCCTTTAACATATCCAGAACCTCCCTGTGTCACACCAAAATAAAACCATGATATCTGTAACCCATTCTCAATGCAGGAAACTTTTGCATATTACATTTAGTTCAATACGTTAATAGTTTATACTAAAAAATTATGGTAGCATTTACTAGGCAATTATTATTATTTACTTTTGGTTACAGGCCAATTTCTTTTTTCAATGACTTGGAAGCTCTTAAATATTATTATTGACTTGCCCTTTTCCCCTTACCATATATTAAAATATAGAGTGCTATGCTACCGTATTTTTCACACACAAAATTAAACAAAGCTTAAAAGTACTATTATGTATTTTATTCTTTTACAATATCATAATGGGACCTTTAAGTCTTGGGAAAGATAAATTTGAAAGAATAAATATATTTCTTTTTGAAAAAAAATATTTATAATCATATTATTAAATTAATGTTTGATAATTATTGGTATTTTTTTCTTTCAGACGAACATTAAATTGTACATCAGGAGTAAAAAATTATACTTTTCAAATTTTCATTTCTATCATATTATTGCACCATTATATTGTAATTTTGAAATTTAGTATTTTAGAAAGTCAAAGTAATTTTAATAGACTAATTGAATTAATGTAATTATTAGTATAAATAGCTTTTATGTTTTAAATTAAATATAAAATATAAATTATTAAGTGAATTGTTTTGCCTGAAGTAAATATTTTTTTCGAAAACATGAGAAGTTTTAATTATTTTTTTTAAAAGCTAATATTATTTCATTCCGTTTATTACCTTTAACAATGTTAAGGTGGCACACTGTCCGTCTAACGTGTGTTATTACATGACATTTCAACAAGGGATAATATAAAAAAAACTAAAATAATGACAATATAAATTTACTGAAAGATTAAAATAGTTTTAATAAGATTGAGATCCAAGAATGCTACCTGCCAAGTCTTAATTCTGACACCATTGGTAGTCTCCCTGAGAACTGCTGTATCCAAAATTACTTTCGTGACTATGCCAGTTGAGTTGTCTTTTCCAAGGCTTCCAATGCTTTAAAAAAATAAAAAAGTGTAAAGTTATAAGAAGGTAAAAAAAAAAAAAAAACTAATTTACTCAAAAAAGGGTGTTCAGAAACATACATTTTTTATTTTGTGTGATCTAAGAAAGAAAAGGAAATAAATTCACGTAAACCATTATAATAATGAATCATCATGTGTGGTTCATGTAACCCACGCTTCTTCAAAAGGATTACATAATGTTAGGAAAAAAAATTCATAAATAAGAAATAAGAAGATAACTTTTTCTTTTTTATGATAGACAATTTTTTTATAGGAATAAATAAGTTTTTATTCTTTCAATTTTTTTTAAGATGTCAAACCATATAACATAGTTTTTCTATTTACTTATAGTTAAATATTATTTTTTAAAAATAAAAGACATTATATGACAATTTGTATTGAAAGTTTGTTACAACCATAATACCCAAATTTTAATGTACCAAACAGAGAACAAAGTATAATTTTAAATTAATTGGAGTCATGAAGATTAGATGATACCTGATTCCATGTCCAGGTCCACAATAAATTCTCTTCATTTTGATATTGGAGCTAGCATTGACAATTGATATGCAATCATCCCCTGAATATAGCACATACAATTATGATGAAACGGCAAAACACAAATGGTCAGTATCTTTCCCTTTAATCTCTTTCAATTGCAGAATCTTAGCACAATTGTTCATTCTTTATTCTCTATGTTTGTGTGTGTATGTTAAAATTCCTTTTCCAAGTTAGCTATTCTGTGTTTCTTTGTTTCAAAGTCTGTGAAGGGCAAAACTCATTATTGCTTTTATTGCTCAGCAAAATTGAACACAAGTTAAGGAAGAACACAAAGTTCAGAACCTGTTCCAATTTTGCTGTCTTGAATAATGACATTTGTTGATTCACTAATATGAATTCCATCAGTGTTTGGGCTATCTCCTGGTGATGACACTTTCACGCCAGTAATTCTAACAGAATCACATCGTGATATGGTAAAATGCATCTGTTGGCTATTCTGGATTGTGAGTCCTTTCACCTTTATTGCTGTACTTGTATCAATGGTTAAGGCCTGCAATGACCCCTCAAAAGTCAAACTATATTCTTATTTGATAATCTTGATTACACATATAGAAGAAAAGAATGGTTAAGAAAGTGGTCCTTACTGTTGGTGCACCTTTGCAAGGCTGTGACAAAGAATAAGAGGAAAATTAGAAAGTTATTATTTAAGATTTAAAAAAAAAAAACTTGCAAAATAACCAAAACCAAGTTTTGAAAAAATTACATTTGACTTGTTCTTTTTGCATGATGCTGCCCACCATTTGCTTCCTGAGCCATCAATGACTCCAGAGCCTTGGAAAATAGCTTTATCCAATTTAGAAAAATCAAGCCAAACCCGTGGTAGTTTTGGATCCCAGTTCTTAGGCTCATCTGGTGCAACCAATGTTCCATCGATCTGGAAATGCAGATACCATGTCAATAATCACAGGACAAGTATTAAATATATGTTTGTGTGTTTGATCACCTGGATGATTAGCTTGTCTGCACAAGGCCCTCTGAATCTTGATGCATTAACTAGGTAACGGCGTCCTTGAGGAATCAACAAAACAGATTTTGATGTAGAGCATGCAACTTCCCATGCTTTTTGTAAAGCCTGATGACCACACAAGCAGAGAAGAGAATGCACAAAACATTATTACAAAATGATTAGTCTGGTCAATCAATGATGCCTATTAGTTCCATAAAAACATTTATCTTTGTTCAACATTGTCAAATGAATGAAGTGCATCTTAAGCAAATTGAAAGAGTACAAATAATGATATGCATTTGCAAGACCAGGTATATAATATATGTGTCAACAATAATGATGAAAGAACTTACCTCAGTATCATCAGATTCTCCATCTCCAGCAGCACCAAAGCTATCAATATTCACAAGAACTTTTCCACCACGCTCGCTTCTCCATGAAGGAATGTCAGAATGTTCTTCCTCGTTTTCATCTTCTATGTCCATGGCCTCCAGGCTTTTTAGTTCTTCGAGCATGCCAATGTTGTCACACATCATGTTTCCTACAACTCCATGAGCTGCTATGAGCAAACCGAGTAAGGAAACCAAGAAGAATTTGTCCATTTTTTGCCCCTGTTGGCTGTATTGCAAGGATTGGTTGATTTGATTAATGCGAATGGTTATAATTTATATGCGTAGATTAGCTCTGAAAAATGAAGAATTTGGAGGGGCTTTATGGCTTGGCTTGAAAGTGGATGAACGTGTAACATTTTCTACATGCCCACACTTAAAGTACAAGGAAAAATAGTTTTGTAGTATTTTGCTTTACTCATCAACCAATTACAAAAGTCACAAGTAATAGTCACCGTTGCACTATCTCCACTTTGCCGCCCTGAAAGAGAAGTGAATGACATAATCCAAGTCTTTGTGCATATTCCACTCTATCTAAAATTGCACTAGCATATAGGCATAATATTAATACCATGTGATACATAAAAAGATGGAAAAATTATTTTCAATTTTTGGAAGCTGTCAGTTAGTTACACCAAACAAGGGAACACAAATGCCGACCCTCATTTCCTTGCCATGCTCACCAAAAACTCCTCGCAAAAGAAACCTTTCCTTTAGATTGTAGAATTTCCCAAATAGACAAGACCTTACCATCTCAGGTAACATCTTCATCAGCTCAGAAAAATAACATGATTGTTTCATCTTGTGTGAATAATGAGCTAAAATGATTCATCAATTCAGGAACTCTATTTTCCCCAGTCACTGTCTTATCTCAATTAAACTATGACCAATCTCCCTAGTCATCTTCCTTGCTAGAGCAACCTCTCTGATTTGCCTTGATGCATCAAAATTTCCAATTTCAGCATAAAAATTTGAAGCTTGCAACCACACTGCGGGATCATGCGGATCTAGCTCAACTAACACTTGTGCTGCTCTTGTTCCAACCTCTTCATTCTTGTGGACCCTGCAACTTCTTAGCAAAGAGCTCCACATAAAACAGTCTCCTTTTCCTGGTGCCTGAAGTAGAAACTCTTCAGCTTCATGTAGAAGTCCTGCACGGCATAAAAGATCCACCATGCAAGAAAAATGGCGGCAATCTGGATCGACCCCATGAATAGATTTCATGGAGTCAAAGACTGTTCTTCCTTCCTCAACTAATCCTGTGTGGTTACAACCCGTTAATGCACATAAGAAGGTAACTGCATCTGGCTTTAGTCCCCTCTCGATCATAGCTTCAAGCACCGCAATTCCCTCTTTCCCCATTCCATTTTGGGCATATGCTTTGATCATGGATGTCAAGCAAATAGCATTGGGAGAAGGAAGTCTCAAGAAAATTTGATGAGAAAGTTCCACGTGCCCGCATCTTGAATATGCATCCATGAGGGAGCATGCAACTGCAGCATCTCCTCCAAGTCCAGACTTTAATGCATAACAATGCAGTAACTGGGAACTCATGAAGCTTGCTGAAGCAGACACTGACACAGCCTTCAGTGTTGTTGATAAGGTTACTTCATCCGGCAGAAGACCCTCATCAATCATCAAACCAAACAATTCAACCACATCATCAACCGCATCACAATGAGACAAAGAGGTCATCAATGAGTTGAAACACTCCAAAGTTCTCTTGGGAAGGCATTCAAAAACAGCAACAGAATTCTCAATGTCCCTGCACTTTCCATACATATCAATCAAAGAAGACTGAATATGCACACTCACTTCATCAAAACCCAACTTCATCACACGACAATGAACCTGCTTCCCCAAACAAAGCTCTCCATTTCTACTGCACAAATTCAACAAACCCACCAAAGAACGAACCGAGGGCCTTTGCCCCCACAGCTGCATAACACTAAACACCTCCAAAGCATCACACAACAAATCGTTCTCCGCATAAACAGAAACCAGCGAGTTCCACGAAATAACATCCTCATTTCCTATGTCCTCAAAGCACTTCCTTGCACCAACCAAACAGCCACAAGCAGAGTAAAAATCCACCAAAGCATTAGCAACAAATACATTTGATTCCACCAAACCCAGCTTCAAAACACACCCTTGAATCCTCTTCCCTTCATGCAACCGTCTCTGATTACCACACCCCCTAAGCAAATAACAAAACGTAACCCCATTTGGCTTCACACCTTCAAAACACATCCGAGAGTAAAACCCCAACAAGTCCTCAACTTCAGCACGACCCAGTTCACACAACCCACGTAGCATCACGTTCCACACAGCCAAATTTCGCTCTGGCAACTCATCAAACAATTCCAGTGCCACCCCCCTTAGCCCCACGTGCGAGTAAAACCCAACAAGCGCACCGCCAACGAACACGTTGCATAAAAACCCGAGCTTGACCACTCTGCAATGCACCTGAACACCCTCTCTTAAAAACCCATCATTGGTGCAAACCACTACTAGAGAGGAGAGCGTGATCGAGCTTTCCCTTATCCCAAGCAAACCCATTTCGGCGTAGAAACGAAGAGCATGATTGGGTTGCTTGTGGAACCCGGAAATGATCAAGTTGTAGGTGACGGTATCTCGCAGTGGCATGCTGCGGAACAGTGCAAGTGCAGCGTTGAGGTTCCTGCTTTTTATGAAAGCGTGGATTTGGCGGTTGTCGAAGAAGACAGAGTGGGTGGTGTTAGCGTGTGGAGGTGTAAGAGTTGTGATGGGTCTGATGAAGGAGTGGAGTTGAGGCTTTTGCATCCGACACCACAGGTTCAGCATTGGGACTGAGACTTTTGTGAAGGGGCCCGCAAGTTTTCAGTTTGAATTAAGGAAACGATCATCATTCACCCCTATTACACGAGTCTTTCGCAATGTGCACTTTGCAATGGAAGTAGATTATAGGTTCAAATTGAATAAACCACTAACTCTTAGGTAGTGTTTATTTCCGGTGATTTACAGTTTACGAGTAATGAAAGGCGAAGAAAATAGATGTTTGTTTTCAGTGATTTGCAACGAAAGAAAGGCGAAGAAAAGGGAGAGAAGCACTGTTGCTGTCCTCGCACAAAAGCGAAGAAAAGAGATGAAAGACACGTACAATTTGTGAAAAATCAGAAATGTCCCTGCCCCATGCATGCAGAGGAACCAAGCATAATCGATTATGCAACCTACATAATCGACTATGTTGAAGCATAATCGATTATGCATGCCACATAATCGATTATGTTGGAGCATAATCGATTATGTTGAATAATCGATTATATAAGCCCATAATCGATTATGTGACTTGCATAATCGATTATGGTAGCCTATTTTCGCTTCCAGACGAACCCAGAACGGGCTGTTCCACCGTTCTAGGATACTAAATTGCTCTTATTTTGGTAATTTGGAACGTTGGAACGGCCCGTTCCAAATTACCAAAACAAGAGCAATTTAGTATCCTAGAACGGGCCGTTCCGAAACTGGAACGGACCGTTCCGAAACTGGAAAATTGGCTTAAAACTCCTAGTTGAGAACGGGCCGTTCCAAAATGGCATAAAATACAACCCCAAATTTGTAATTTAAAAAATTTCTCAATTTTTTAACTGGTAAAAATTAATTTGTACAATTAATAAATATATCTTCATTTCATTCTAATTTATATTAATGATTTATCAATTTTTTTAATTTATTAATTAACTTTTAAAAATTTTATTGTACATTTTTTATATATTAAGAAAATTCTATTATTTAAATATTGACATCAAAAAGTGAATATATAAAAAAATAAAGTAATACATGTTTATAAAATTAAAATAATAACACTTTCATAAACATTAATAAAATAATGTTAAAAAATATAATTATCATAATATATTTTGTTATTATTATTTATTATTATAAATATTATTATTATTATCATTATTATTAATATTATTATTATTTATTATATTTAATATCATTATTATTTATTATGATTCTTATTATTTTTTTAATATTTATTATTATTATTTATTATTTTTTTAATAAATTATACCTATTAATATAATTTTATTGTAATTATTATTATTTACAATAAATAATATTATACTCATTTTTAATCCAAGAGTAAAAGTGTAAATTTATATTCATCTATTAAATTTTTAATTTTTATCTATCATTAAATTTAAAGCAAATATTTAAATTAAATTATTTTTAAATTAATATTTTATATTTATTTTTTTAGTTAAAATTTATATATTTATCTTTTAATTATAATAATTATAAACTTTATTTTAACCTAAGGGCAAAATAGTAATCTTACACAATTATCAATTAAAAAATTCATTTTTATCTATCACATCAATCAATTCACTCACAAACTTTCTCTACACTTTCCACTCACTTTTCCTTAATCCAAACAACTTCACTTTCCACTCACTTTCCCTTCAAATTCCTCCTTTTCCACTCCCCTTTTTCCATCCTCAAATCCAAACAAAGCCTAAGAGTGTTAACAGTGTGTCAGTTTTATTTTATTCCCGAATTTCAAAGTCACGTTCAACATAATTTCACTCTCTTGTAAGTTGTCACTGAAGGGAGAATACAAACATGCTTTAATATGGTTGCTTAAATGTTGTCATCTTATCGAGTAGTTTCAAACAAATGTAGTCCCTAATTCACGTGTTATAAGTTTTGTTGTATAAAATGTTACATGAATTATATGAATAATACAATTTTTTATTCCATCTCTAATTCGATCTTTTTGGTTTTCATTTTATTGAGAATGTTTTGTCTTTAAATCTCTTTCTATTTTTTAAGAACCTTTTCTCTCACTTTTACATAGTTTTGCTTATCCTATACTCACTTACTACTCATATAATTTTATTTTATTTTTCTCTTTTTTTATTTTTATTTAAATAAAATATAGAGGCATATAATGTTTTTTCCCATTAGTTTTAATGAAAAAAAGTTGACAATTAACTTGATTTTTTTAATATTTTAGAAAATATGTATGATTTTCTAATGATCGAATGAATGCTTATATAAAATTTTAGAATAATAAATTGTTGGTTATTGTAATACTAGATTAATCATTTTAAATAAAGTCTCGAATTTGAATTTTTATGTAAAAAAAATGTGGCCGGTATAAAGAATAAAATAAAATAAAATTTTCTTATTTTAAATATTTTTGGCATAACGTGTATATATATATGCTTATTTATTTATATTTATATTAAAAAAGACACTACACATGAAAATGTACTTATGAAAAATGTGGTTAAAATAATATACTTTTATTTCATATAAAATGAGAATAATTATATACAAAGAGAAGTGAAACTATCAAATAAAAACATTAATCAAACAGAAGTTCCCTACAAATTTATCTTTTAAGAGTATAAAATAAAAATGTTAGTTAATTGGCTAACTCATTAAATTGACAAGTTGAATCCGTTAAGTTGAACAGACATATTTATTTAACAGACATATTTATTTACCCAATCTAACTCACAAAAAATAGGCAGGTTGACAAGTTGATCCACCAAATTTAACTAACACTATCATCCCCATTATAATCGATTTATAATTAGAATGAATTTTTGTTTAAATAAATTTGATGAATGCAATTTTAAGATGTTTAATTTTGTTTGGATACACCAATAGTAAATTAGCTTAAAAAAATTATTAAAAAATAATCATTAACTTCAAATTTTCAACTTCATAAAAATAACTTATTTTTATGAAGAAAAAAAATTATTTCTAAATTTAAATTATTGTCTTAAACACAATTTTTTTTTTTTGCAGAGTTTCTGTTTAAAAGAAAATATAAATGAGAGATTATAAGCTGGCCCAAATACGTTCATAGTATTGCGTGAAATATAATTACATAGCATTTAAAATATTAGCACAACGCCCCCAAAATAAGCAATGATATAATATTTCAGCAATTTGCAGCATATTCATGCAGTGTACAAGACAAATCCACATATTATACCCAAATGACTTGCTATGGATGGTAAAAGCAACTGTATCTCCATCTCATTCATAGATTGCGTTATAATTACTTAGCTGTGGAGACAAATGATTTACATTTGCATTAAGATGCAGAAGCAATGGCCTCCAAAAGAGAGGCTGTGAATCGCATCTGGGTTTCTTCATTAATGCTTGAAAATAGGGGAACATGAACAAATAGAGACTTGTTACCATTTTGTTCTGCAAATCGGAGGGAGTTGTAATACACATAATTGCACACAAAGCGTCCTGCATCACCTGATATCATCACATCATAACCTCCCTTCTTCAAGGATTTCAAGATTGCATCAACCGGCAAACAAGTCTTTAACAAACAATTAGCAAGTTAGAAACAAATTCAAAGTATTTTTGCAACAATATGAGACAATTTCTTACATTAAAATGATCAAAGAACACCAGACAAGACATGTGAAACTACAACCACAAAAGCAATCAAATACAACTCTGTGGCCTTTGGATTTAACAACAAAAGTCATGTGTTATATTATATATACATTATATAAGGCGAACATGGCCCAATATAAAATGTTTTGAGCTTGTCTTCCTTTTATTCATTGTTCTTTCTACCTTTTTACTCTTTCTATAATGGGGTGGAGAACAGAGGAAAGACTTTCCTTCAATGGATTAAAACAACATCAAGAAAAATCACAAGCTTCTTCAACTTTTACTACTTTATTGCGATATCTAATGATGTCAGTATCAGTAGTTTTCACGTTTCATCAAAACAAAAAAAACAATTGAATTTTGTGTTAAAGTTTACCACAAAAACCTATAATTTTCATTGGACCTTGTCCAACAAAGTTCAATCCTACATGTCATGGATCATAATTGCAATTTACCTGTCTTGCTCGAGAAATTCCTCCATCCTCATGGGCTATTGGGACTTGCTGAGAAAGAAAAGTTGAATACAGAGGATCAGTTTGGGATATGCAACACATAGGAGTAATCTTCAAAATGTAAGAAAAACTCTATAGATTTTACAATTTTATTTAGAAAAGTGGAAAACAAAAAGGGCACAATCATGAATTACCAGTGGTTGCCATCCTAACTCATCTGGACAGAGGAAAGTGGCTTCATTTACTGCCTGTTGCTCAATGGAAAACCTTACAACTCCACTATTCACCCCCAAGTGAAGCTGAAGCATAAAATGATCTCATAAAAATGCCTTCTTAACAATATCTTTTATTAAAATATGCAATGAAAAATTGATTTCTCATTGATACATAAAAATGATCTCATAAATTTTTTTCTTTTAGTAACCATGGTATAAGTATGAAGTACTACTACTAGAAGCAATAACTAATCTTTGTTAAAGATCGTGATCATATATAAGATAGATATTCCCCTCTCAACATAATCTATTCCATGTCCAAAACTAGGATTCGAACCTAGATAACTTGATTAAGGGATATAAGACGCTACCATTTGTGTCAACCAATGTTGGTATATCATAGGGTCATATACTTTTACTACAATAACAAGATAGAAAACAGATGATGGAAGGAAACCAAATAACACCAAACAAGGTACCAATTGCAATGGTGCAAGAAAACTTCTCATTCAGCTAATGTAACCTTGTCTGGTAGCAACTGCAGGCATTAATAATGTGATGATGGAAACAAAATGCTACAGATTACATGGCATGGAATGAAGACTCCAGTCCTAAGACAATTCAATAGAGAAAATGGCTAGCAAAAAATACTCTTTATTCTTCAAGCCCAATAAGAATCTCTTTGAATACAAGTTCATAAACATTTTTTAGTTTTTCTATCGAAAAATGTTTTTTTATTTTCAACAGAGTAACTCTGAAAAGCTCTTTTAGGTTTGCATCCAAACAAACTTTAAATTTTAATAGGCTGTATACATGATTATCATAAAATATAAATTGAAAAGCTAAAAGAGACTTTCTTCTCCCAAGTATTTGACTTTAAGCTTGTGTGTATTACTACATTTATAAAGAAAAATCTTGATCAACAATCCAATTGAGAATTTGAGACCTGAGAGGGAAAAAAACTAACCCATACAACATTTGCATTGCTCACAGTATCTGTCTTGGAGACAGCAGATTCCATGGTTTGACATAGCTGAGGAAGTGCAGCTTCCCCAGCCACTTCAAGCACAGTGCAACTCCCAAGAGTAACACCAGCAGGGAGGCCTCTCCTTTCAACATAATCCTTCAGATTATTAACAATGGTTTCTGTAGGGTTTTCCGAAACCCCTTGAAACTTTTTAAATCCTGTTACATGAATAGTAATGGCCTTTGGCTCTTCAGATCCCATCTCCTCGTTCTGAATTCTGATGCAGTTCCCTATTTTGGATAGATCTTAATAACAGCCCTGCTTTTGTGCTTCCCCTGCAAAGATCAACCACAATTTACATCAAAGAAATGCCATTTACATGATTCAGCAATATGCCTATAACTGACTAATGGAAAAGAATTCCAAGGTAAAGCATAAACAAAGTTTCTATAACAACCAAACTCATATTTTAAGCAGTCAAGTCCTTACCTACCAATTATTCAAGAAAAGAACAGATTCACCAATTTTTTTGTTGACTTGAAAAATTCATTCACAAATATGCTCCTATTGCACCTCAAAATAGCATATACATATATTAATTTTCATCTTTTAAACCAGTTTCAACTTAAGCATTAACATCCATTTCAAAAGGGAGATTCCCTAAGCAGCAACAACCTTCCACTAGCTAGAAAAATAAAAGAACATGGTCTAGAAAAATAATAAAAACACAAATATGGAACGTGGCACACAAGACAACATAATTAGTATATTGTGGAGGAAACGATTGTACCACAAGTGTGTTTATGTTGTGCAACAAAGAGGAGAAGCATAAACAACGTAGGAAACACAGAGGATGAAGGGTACCTGGGAATTGACGCCACTGCTATGACTTTGGCTCGATGACTCAGAAGAAGGGTGCTCCTGTGGCATTATTAGGGTGACGTGTAAAGTAAAAATGCCACTGGCTAAAGAAAATATCATTATATTGCCACTGATGAATTTGTTGTGTGTATAGAACTCATAGGATAAGGTGTAATGCGTCATAGGACGGTTTTTGAAGTGACACAACTGCGTGCATCATTCTTTCACTTCTTCCATAAATGACAATTTTCAGGTAAGTAAATGACTCCCAATTTATTAGGCGGGGGGGATGTATCATATACTCATTAATGAATTTTACATTAATACTCGTACCATTCTGAACATAAGAAGAAAAAAAAATCATATTTATTATTGTTAAATATAAATAAATTTTAACTAATTTTACTCTTTTTAACGATATTATCTTCTATATACTATCTTGTTTAATTGAGATTGTGTTTCTAATATCTTATTTTATTCTTAATATCAAATTTTAAGGATGGATAATTTAGAAAAATAAGTTATCTAATATTTTTTAGATGAGATTAAAGAAACTAAATGATAAACAATTTTTCTTAATAGACGTGAGTGTTTTTTTTTTAAATATATATTTAAAATTAGAGGAGTAATGTATATAATGAAATGTTACTCATTTCATTATATAGTAAAGTATCGTGTTATGTTGATTTATACAAACTAAGAAAAGTTAATGAATAGATGAAAGAGAACAATAATTTTACGAAATTAATTATATAATTAATTTTTTTTATTAGAAACGATGAAATACAATAATTACTTTCTAAAATATTACGAGAGGTATAAATGAAATAGAAACAGTTAATACTGTAACACTCCATTTTTTTTATTTCAATTTTATTTATTTTTTTAAGGGTATTTTGGTAATTTTATAAAGGTGATAGGGGTGATTTAGTAGCTTGGAATGGGCTGTTCCGGAATTGGAACGGGTCGTTCCAAACTACCAAAAAACATGTGATTTAGTAGCTCGGAACGGGCCGTTCCAAACTACCAAGTTGTGTGTGAGTTAATATCCCAGAACGGGCCGTTCTCAAGATGGAACGGGTCGTTCCGGACTATTAAATATGCCATTAACCCTAATTGAGAACGGGCTTGGAACGGGGCGTGACCGTTGTGGGTAATTAATGCACCCCAGAACGGGCCGTTCTGGTTTTGGAATGGGCCGTTCTGGATGTGATTTTTAGCCATGTTTTAAAGGTCCGGAACGGGCCGTTCCGGATTTGGAACGGGCCGTTCCGGCGTAAAAAGCCTATAAATAGAGCTGTTTGCCACTCCCAAAAAGCACACCTCTCATTCTGATTCTGAATTCTTTTCTTCTGCTCTCTCTTCTTTCCTCTACTTTCTGCTTCAGACCGGGGGGACCCAACGAGGGAGATCAACCAGATCTAGTCTAGATTCAGCTTCTTCATATCCAGGTACGGGGGAAAAGGGAATTATTTATATATAGAGTTACATGAGGGAATTGGGTAGAGGAAGAACCCCTTAGAATTATGAGCAATTTTAGAAATATTTCTGTTTGAAGAATTATTGGCATTATTTGATTCTGTATATATTTAGGACAATAAATATATATTTTGTTTGTAAAAATGATGCTCTAGGAGAGAGAACGAAATTATAGAAAAGTGCCTGTAGGCTAGGTTTTGGAAAAATTGAAATATTTCTGTTTGAGGAATTAATGATACCATTAGATTCTGTATGTGTTGAGGATTAGAAATATATATTTAATTTATAAGAATGATGATCTGAGAGGGAGAACGAAACTATAGAAAAGTGCCTGTGAGTTAGGTTTTGAAAGAATTGGGGATTTTATTGTTTATGTTAAAGTTTTATTAAATTGATAATTCCATTATTTATAATATTAATTTATGAATGTTATTGGTATATTATTTGATAAGAATTGATGATCTAGATGTGAATTGCTCGAATGGTGTGTAAACCCTTATTTTGTTAGACTTATCTGTTGTGCATGTAATATGGAATTGAGATGAAATGAGATGTTGTGTGGATATGATTATGATTATGATTGTGATTGTGGTACTCATACTAATGACCAGGGATGAGACGAACCTTGAGTAGTGATGCTTCAAGGACGAGCGTGCCCTTGGCATAGTGTGGGATGAGTGAGACAATTAACATGCATCACTTATGTCACATATGGCAGCCCTGACATAGGGTTAATTGCAAGAGATTGTGTGGATTATAATGTGTTTGTGGTTCCTCACACTAATGACCAGGGATGAGACGAACCCTGGGTAGTGATGCTTCAGGGACGAGCGTGCCCCTGACATGGTGTGGGATGAGTAAGGCAGTTAACCCGTATCACTTGTGTCAGTTGTGGCGTGGTCTTGACATAGTGTTAATTGTAAGATTTATGTGGATTGTGATGGATTGATGTAGTTGTGAATTGAGATGTGAAGATGATGAATGATTGATAAATTATAATATATATATGAACGCTTGTAATTATTTTATTAAGCAACGAGTTATGATGAGATTACAATCGTGGTGTGTTTGTATGTGCTTTGCATATAGATATTTTCTTTTCTCACCGTATAAATTGTGGATGTTTTAGGTGAGGAAGATCCGGCTTCGAGTGACATCTAGAATGCCAACAGTTGAATTGTGGGGATGCTCTGATATTGTGACATCGGGGCCGAAGAATTTAGAACATAGGTTTTATATAGATTTGGAATTGTAAACGTTATTTTTGAAAACAATTTGTAAACTCTTGCGTTTCATTTATTTTATATTATTATTGTGGTTGTTGAAGAATAATTTCGAAGATTTTTATGTGAACCCTTTTTACCGAAATAGAAAAATTTATTTGTAAGTTTTTATTATTACAATATATGTGTTGGGGTAGTAAGGGTGTCACAAATACTAGATTAAAAACTAACATAACATGTTTTTTGAACTTTTTTCTTCAAATATAACTGTTATTATGGAATGGAAGAATATTTTTTTTTCTTCATAAATTTAAAAACTTAAATAATCCTTTCAATCCTTATTACAAGACCCAAATAACTAATTCACTAATATTAAGAAAGTTAGTTTTTTTTTATTGTAAAGATCAATAAATATGTCTTAAACTTCTACTTCTTTCCAAAACTACTCTAATTAATGAGACACATAATACATGTTTGCAAAGTTTTTGCATTCTAAAAACAAAAATAGAAGACTATTTCTATTTTAAGACATACAATAAAAGAATTCTACTTATTTGTTTAACTAAAAAACATTCAATAAAGGTAATTTTGTAAAGTAATATTTAATGCTTGAGATATATTACCTTTATTCCTATTTATAAGACCCAACTTAAACCAACCGATTGATTCTTTATATATGACTTAATCCATATTGACTCATGTATTAATTATTTTTAATTTTTTAGACAAAAATATCCCTAATTAAAATATGTTCTCTTAATTTTTTGAAATACATTAATTATATTTTTTTTTAAAAAAAAAGATATGCACTCTAATTGATTAGAAGAGAGAACAATATCAATTAGGAGAGAAATAGTATAAGACATTCACTCTAATCGGTTAAAAGAAAGAAAAATATTAATAATAGTAGAAAAATAGTTTAAGGATAGTTTTGGAATTTTTTTTTATAAAAATAGAACAAATTTATTGTTATCAACTACACGAACTACTTATAACTGAAGAGTAGGAAAAAAAAAATAAAAACCTTCTCAAGTTTTTTCCCTTACACTATTGTGCTAGGGTTTCCCTAAAACAACATTGTTTTAGGGTTTTATCTCCTCAAGATGTTAAGCTCTAGTGTCGTTGATTTACCAAGTTTTTTAAAATAAAATCACATTTAAATGAATCGATGATGAGAATGTTAATTTTTAAAGGTGTAAACCCCTTTATTTTGGATTTACTCTATTCTTGAAAAATACTTTTTCACTTGCACCAAACCGGTAATTGTCTTTTCATTATACACCATGCACGTCGAAAAGCCAAGCATTGTCTCATGTTTTCGGGTCTAACTCTAAGCAATTATATTACCTGAATTTTGATCTTCTAGAGTTGGACACTTAAAGAAATAAGGCTAACCCATGTTGAATGGTAACCCCTGCCCAATTACGATTAAATTAGCTGGGCTTATCTTCAACATTGGGCTGGTGAGGCAAAGTGTTATGCCATGCATGAATGCTGATAAATTTTTTCATGAACAGTTAAGTACTTATTATATATATATATATATATATATATATATATT